ATAGTTTTTAAAGGAGCAATATACCTACAACATCCAGATTTAGCTAAAATGTTTGTTGTTATTCAAGTCAAGGCAAGAATTAAAATAATTAAAAGCAATGCTCGATCTATGGTAACTAAATCTGGGTGCTACCAACAATTTTCCCAAACAAGGATATGAGTATGTCTTGATATTTAAAAGTGTTATATTTAGTTATAATTTAATAATAGAAAAGGCTATGACTAGTTCAACGTCTGGAGATTTACTAGTATATAAACTTAATTATCATCCTAGACACTAGTAAAAAAAATGAATTTCAATAAAAAGAATTGATACTTATTAACAACAACCTAGAACTTCTCTAAAATATACTTAACTCAATTATTTTAATACTATGGAAACTTTAAAAATTGGCAACTTTATAATATTTTCGAGTATTTTATTTCTTCAAATACATCATATTTATAAAAAATATTAATTCCTAGTGCAAATTGGCAAAAAAAATTAATATAAAAATATGAATTTTGAGTTATTTTAACAAAAAAAATTAGTAACAAAATAATTATCTTCGAAAAAAATATTAGTTAATTCAAAAAAAGTGTAATTATTGAAAATTTTAACAAAAAAAATTGATTGACGTTTAGTATAAATATATATTTATAAAATACGCCAAGCGATGACAACTATCTAAATGGAGAGGGGGATTTTTGGGTCGAATTTCCACTTAGGTTCTAGTATTTTTTAACGTCCGATTTGAGTTTTTTTAACAGGGCTTGGTCATAATTTTAGTCCAAAATTATTTTGTGTAAGCCTCGTGATTTCGCAAAAAAAGAAGGTTCAAACCCTTCTACCATCTCGGAGTAAATTCTCCAGGCTTATAAAGTGCGGGCCATTTTAAAAAATTGATAAATCGGGCCGTTTAACACACTACCCAGGTCGTAATAAAAATGTGTTAAAGCAATCGACACATATAAGATGGTGAATCTTTCATGAAATGGGCGTACAATGTGACACCATCTCTGGGTAGGAGAAACAAAAAATTATTAGGACAAAAAAAATATATATATTTAGAAGAAATATAACACTTTGATTAATCAGGTAAGGATGAGTTTCATTTTTAGATAAAAACAGTTAAAATAATTCGGAATAACAAATAATTGTACTAATCAGATCATTCTCGATCACAAAAAATCAAAATCTATTCCCATACTCCAGCTTATTCTACTCTTATTACACTATATCGATCTAGACTTGTTAGTATGGACTTAACTTACAGTAGATTAGATGGAAGAGGAATGACTATTTTAAGAAACTATAAGGTCTTGCCAGTTAAATCCTAAGGAACAAACCAATCAATGCAGTATTTTTTAATATCACAGGAAGCTAAAAAGGGTATATACAAATATAATTAAAATTATATTATGCAATATAAACTTAATCCAAAATAATTGGTTTATTATAAATAAATCTAAAATTAAGTGCCTTTCAAAGATAAAGTCATGTTAATTTTTTTCGCACCAGTAAAGACTGGCCTGATCCGCTTTAACTTTAAAATTTTGGTATGCATAGTATTTATAATAAGCTTTGATGTGCCGGTAAATGGGATAAAATGTGCTCCAAGCTGTAAAAATCTTTTAAAAATGTTACGAAGGAATTCTTTGGTGGTATTAACTAACGGAAACTCTTATAGAGTTAAACTGGCGGGAGCGATGATTTGTAGTCATACAGATTTGATGCTTGTTGTGTTGTGTATAAAGAAATATCCCTTTATGTATATCAGTGTTCTTTATATTCATTTTTTAATACACGACATTAAAATTTATAAAACCTTGTTATGATTTTTCTTTGTTTTTTTTCTCAACCAAAAGCCACTTGAAATTGGTCCAAGCCAGATTTAAGGATGGGCAATAAGTATAAAATCTTTTATAATAGTACTTTAGTGTGAAAATAGTTATTACTTTTAAGACAAGAACAATAGTTGTTGTCAACCCTTTGATATATATATATTAGAAAATGGGGTCATATTAAGATTCAGTGCCAAAAAAAGAGGTATAAGATTCGTAATAAAAGTGGCGGCGAAAGATTCAAGATATAATTAGTTAGACACGTTTTTGATCAATATCCTATAGATCTAAAGCAGTAAATACACCAGAAATGATGCAGTCTAGAAATCAACAAACAAACGTACATTCAAAAGTAGAGAATATACTTTCTCATGTCCAATGCAACAATAAGGAGAAGATGAATTGTTAGCGATTGCGTGGAAGGAAATGGAAGAGGAATGGTGCGTCATGGTTAATCGATTGGAAGAAATAAGGCCGTTAGAGGAAGATTGATGAATATACAGACGCTGGGCTTATGTAGGATGGGCGTGTTGTAATTAAGCTTTTATTAGAAAGATGTATTTATGCTTTTTAAGTGTTAAAAATATGTAATTTGATAAAATATATATGTTAATATTTACCAGTTGATAAGGAAAAAAATATAGGGATAACGAAAGATTTTTATTTTTTAAAAAATTGTTGATATCTGATGATCGAAAATTTTTTTTAATTGACAATTGAATAGTGAAAAATATCGCAAAAATTTAATATTGAAGAATAGTCATTAATTTTACCTTAGAAGAATATTGTATTTATTTGTATACTAGAAGAATATTGTAGCTATTTTATATTGGAGAAATGTACGATCAAGAAGATTATTTTAATAAATAGTACCTTTGGATATTTAATAAGGTAAACATATAAAAAAAAATATATATATACAGGCCCTCCAAAAATATTTTTTGGCCTCAAACCTGGCTCCCAGAAAAAATCTTTGGCCCCCAAAAATAGTCTCCATAAATTTTTCCGGCCCTCCAAATTTTTAAAAAATTATTTGTAATATATTATTTTTTATATTTTTAAAATAAATTTTAAATATTTATTAAAAAAACATGTATAGTTTGTAAATTTCTTTCTACCCTGTTTCATTTTTATCCTATAATAAAACATCATTCATTCATATTTTATCATTTACATGTGTGTTCGTGTATGACATTATATAGGCGCTTAATCACGTTTAAATTATAACTTATATCAATGATACTTATTTTATTTATTATGGTTTAATACAATATTATTATTATAATATAACCAGACAGCCGTGAATAGTTTAGAATTATGAAGAAAACAATTTTGGTAAGCCAACAAATTAACCGTGATCTTTACTATCTTAAATCAATATTTGATGCTATTTCTTAGCATACAGGAGCTACCTTTTCGTGGGATTGGTTCAAAAAAATTACGGATGCTACAACCGATGAAAACATAATTTATTCGACGACTATTTATATCAATGATCTCATGCACCATCCAAAAAGATCTTAAAATTAAATAAAATTATGAAATTTATACCCAAAAATGCCCAATATACATCACCCCAGATTCAAAACGAAGTAATATCTATTATGGCAGATATGGCGCTTGAATATATTTTAGATAAATATAACAAAAGAGATGCCTTTTATTTGTCTTAAGACTGATGAGACAAAAGATGCATATTTGTGAAAACCTGACATAATGTAGTTATATTTCCAAGAAAATTTAATAGGAATTATTAATTTACAGTGTCTTTCTGCTGAAAGCATTACTAATTGCATTTTAAAGCAACTTAATGAGTTAAATATTAATTTAATGAATATAATAAGCCAGGCATATGATGTGGTAAACGTTATGTCTGGCCGAAATGAAGAAGAAGAGCAAACACTTCTTCAAAAAAAAAATTAATATAAAAGTTGCTTTACAACCAAATGTTGCAACTTGTGGTTCAAAATTAATATAATAATATTGTTTTCATTTCTAATTTTTTTCAAATTTATACTTAGCGTTGTATAATTTTTTAGGAGCTTTAACGTATCTATGCAGGCAATACTATTAAGAGACCTGTAGACCAGAGGTGAACTGGTCATTTAGAAGCATCTCATCATTTATGAGAATTTTGAGGCTATTGGCGAAGTAATATTTCACTTTTCTAATAGAACGCTTAATTCGGAGGTTTCCACTCATGATTCAGTCGAAGCCTCTGGTCTTTTATCTCAATGCGTTAATATAAATTACGTAGTATTCGCCATTATAATTTATGAGATATAATAACAATAGATCCACTAAAATATCTACAGTCAGTAGGTATCTAGTGGATGCTAAAAATTGTGATTCCACTTTCAATATATTAAAAAATAAAAGAAGCGATAATTCTTTTGATTTGATTAGAATTAAGGCTGAAAAACGTTTGGCAAAATTTAATCTCACTCCCCAAAATTCATCAAGGGTACGTAAAACGCCTATAAATTTTCAAGATTTTTTAGTCGAGACCAAAATACCATTTGATTGTGAAAAAGATTTCAATTGGAGTTCTTTAAAAAGGAATTATTATGAAATTATTGATTACTTTGTGTTGATTGTTTTTTAGATAGATTTACACAAGATTAACTATAATCTTCTATCATGTTTTAATACATTGTCCCCCTTTGACCCTGATTAATTTTTGTTGGATAAAATGGCCCGATTAGAATCATTATTAAACTTAAATATGGAAATGTTACATCAGGAAATGAAAATAGTTAAAGGATTATTAGCTGCAGAAGTTAAGAAACACATAATTTTAAATCCTAAATATTATGAATAAAAATAATAATGCATTTAAAGAATTATAAATGCTACTAAGCAGCCTTATCATTAGGGTACCAACGGCTTTTTGTGTGACCTCTTTCTCTACAATAAAGATAGTTCTATTGAGCACTAGAGAGTCGAAGAAAGATTAACGTAAGCAAAATTTAGCATTGATTGCTTATGAAATAAAAAATATCACAAAATTTATCCTTTAATTCATTTATGTTAAAATTTAAAAATAAAATTCGTCGTATTATATTATGGTATTATTTTGTATTCATATTACATTAATAAATTTTTAATAAAAATAGCAAAATTTTACTTCTGATAATTATTTGTTTTATTTTTAAAAAATAGTGGCCCCCCTAGCTGAAAATTCGTAACTAAGGCCCTGTATACACATATATATATAGGTGTAAATTATGTAATCGCGATCATTAATTTTTTTTTATGTAAACTACGACGAAAAATTTTGTTTTACTTACTACTGAAAATCAATAAATCATTCGCGACTAGATTTTACTTACCCCACATACAACCGATCTTGACGACGGCCGATTAGATAAATTTAAATCCGCTCTATTTCTGCGGTGCGGGGAAGGTCGTTCCTTATATATTTAAGGTTAACTAAAATTTTAGATCTGCACTGATCCTACGGGCGGCGTATTCCGTTCCTTTTTTTTTGCGATTTTGAAATTAATTTTTTACATTTTTTTTTTTTTATATTTCTTTAATAATAACATAAGAAATTTATTTAAAATTATGATTGATCAATTGTTAAGAAAATTTAATTTTAATTCTTCAAAGTCTTCATCAGTTATCTGATTTCTTATACTTAATTCCATTAGCCTTTTGATAGATTCAGCCCCCACAAACTCTCTTTCATTCTTATCGTTGATTAACCTTATGTTGCCATCCTTTTCAAAAGTGTCTTCATAAGTCTTGGAGTTGATTATAACCATGGTTTTACCCTCTACTTTGTTGTTTAGTTTGTTTCTATTTATAAATATACTTTTGTTCAAGTCATTTATGGTGGTAGAGTATTTTTCAGTTTTGTCCATGTTTTTAAATTTTGGAATCATGATGCTAATAGCATCATTCATTTTTTGGAGAAGTTGTAAGACATTGCGTTCGTCCGATTCAACTTCTAAAACTTTGAACCCGTCAATAATGATGCTAATAACATCATTCATTTTTTGGAGAAGTTGTAAGACATTGTGTTTGTCCGATTCAACTTCTAAAACTTTGAACCCGTCAATATGTTTCTTACATATCTTGGCCATTCCTTTAAGATATTCATATAAATTTCTGGACATTCTTAATTGAGGATCGACATCTAACTTGAGCTTTTGCTTCTCGGATTCGTTGCTTTGCCAATGGTTTGAAAGGGTCATCATAATCTAATATTTTTTTAAAAATAAATAATATTTTGAGTTGCGGTAGTAAGAATAATTTGGTAATAAATTTCTCTATTTTTAGATGCTTTAAAAATTAGCCGAAAACTAACACATTAGTTTGTTTTTTTTTGAAAATATTGCTCAACTTTGAAGAAAACAGAAATAGAGTGACTGACATACTTATCGAAATTTTCTTTGGCGCTCGTTTTTTTTAAAGATTAAGGCAAGTTAGGCGATATTTAGTTATTATCCAGCTATAAATAAGATTTTTAAAAAAAATGTTTGTCACCCTAACCGAAAGCGTCCAAAATAAATCTTAAAACAATAATAACAATTTTCAAATCCAAAAAATCAGCTGATCTTGCAAAATATTATACTTTAAAAAAAAATTGACAAATCGAAACAATTTGTCTTACTAAATGATATTTTTGATAATTCCTAGCGCTGTACTTCTAATATAATTCTTACTCTAAATCAAATTCGTTTATTTTTGAATTCCAATATACTTCACTCCGCGATGATGAAGCAGCGAAATAAAAATTTTTTAACAATAGGTATTTTATTTTTAAAAATTCAACTCGAAAAATTTAAGACACATTTTATTCATTTTAATACTTAGGGAGAAAAAAAGAAGATAATAGTGATCTGTTTATTTTGATTGGTTGCTTTGGCTTTTTAATGATATTATTTTAATGTATTCACTTTATAAATATAGCTCATTTAGCCCCAAATATATTTCAAATTCATCTACTAAGCAAAGTTTACAATTCTTAACTCGCCAGTAGTAAAATCGGGCGTCGGTAGTAGAACCAAAACCCACCCGTTTTCACAAATCCTATATGGGAAAAAAATCCCTATATAAAAATAACGAAAATTCTATTCTCTTTTGAAGTGGTAAAAAAAGAAGTATTTTGTACTTTATTTCTTTTAGTGCTCACAAATTGAACGTTCCAACGCTAATGCATTCATTCAAATTGAACATATTTCCGTTTTGCATTTTATATTAAAGACACAATATCTTGCGTTTTTTGAAACGTTTTTAAATTTTGAAGTGATAAAATGGACATAACATCTACTAAAATGTTAGAATTAATATTATTAAATGATACAATAATATTTTAGCATATGGAATGATGAAATTACTAAAAGGTTTGCTAAAATGTTTGAACCTGACGAGCTAATTTGGAACCAAGAACATCTAGACCATAAAAAAAACTTTCATTGTTATTGAACATTTATCTGTTATTGGAGCCTGGTATAAATATATAAGAATATTAAATATAATCATTTAATTAGCTTAGCTTTGGAATTCCCTGGTTTTGATATGAGTACTTTATATCTAAAGAGATTCAAAAATTTTAAAGACCAATTGAACAAATCAGGTAAAGGAGGAATACATGAATATAAATATAAGAAATATATAAATTTTATGCAAAAGACTGGCAGATAGAGCAACATCAAGCAATTTATATGTGCAACCCTCAAACACAGTAAAACCTAAAGTGCCTAATGATATTAATAGGTTATTAAATGAATTGGAAGAAAGGTCATTTGAGATGCAGTAAACCTTATTTTATCTATAATTTATTTATATTTTATATGGAATATTTTTGGAAAGCCTTGCGGAGGATGTACAAATTTAAGTTTAGAACAATCAACTAATGTCTAAAACTGAGGTTTTAAAATTTATACATTATCTAAAAACAAACGATACCTTACCAACACCTTCTAATCTGCATTAGATATATTTAATAGCATTATATAAATTATTTATTTAAATGTGATATTTTTCTTATTATATTTACATGTGATATTTATGTATTTTATATTTACAAGTTAAATAATTGACATTTTTGTATAAGATATATTCTTACAATTAACAAAATTTTATATATTTGCATTAGTGTCTATTTTCACATTTAATATAAGTTAAATGATATATCAATTAAATTTTTCTTAACATTCAAATAATTTATTTATATTAGTTCTGTAAACGTTACTACAAAAAATAAACGCGCTACAGTTACTCGTTACACCTGAAAAAGAAACACGTTACCGTTACTTGGTACCTTTTAATCTAAAAAGTAACTACTCGTTACTTAAAAAATTAAATATTTAATATAAAAATAATATTTTTTCCCTCCACAATATATAATATAAATAAAACTATACAAAAAGAATATATAAGATAAGATCTTTTTATAAAAAATTTATATATATATATAATTATAATATAAATAAATTAAAATTATACAAAAATAATATATTATATATAAAATAACATCTTTTGTATCATTTATTTTTAGCAACAATTGATTTTCAAAATCATCAGACAAACAAGAGCGCTTAATGCTCCACACAGCTTTGGCCGTGCTAAACTCAGGTTCAATTGGCGCATATGATGGAAGAGTTGTATTATATTTAATAAATAAAAATTTTAATTCGGAGAATCTATCAAAAATATTTAAAGTATCTTTATTTTGAAAAAATTATAAAAGATCACTTCACAAGGATCTATGTAATTTCTGAAATGGTTTTAAAATGGACATCGTTACCTGTCTTTTCAATGTCAGCACTTGCAATGAGATTTAAAGTGTGTGCTGAACAGGAATGATGCTTAGGTAATTATAAAATACTATCATTAGTATTTTGATTTTCAAATAAACCAAATAATGGCGGAGGAACAATTTCATCAATTGATTTCTCTCCTTGTTCATATACTCTAATAAATTTTTAATAAATAATATATAATTTTTTTACTTGAAAGCTTTGTATAATTTCTAACATTGTCGGTGCATTTGGTCACTTTATTTTATATCTTATGTGGTAAAAATTTTAAATATTATTTTAGCTAGATAATCAAATGTGTCTTTGGTTTAGTCTTTTTCAAGCTAAGCAGGCTGAACCCCTCTCAAGAGTGTCTGGGTGTAGCCAGTGTACCGTCATCTCTAAATAAGAACTTTCTTAAAAGACAATATTATCAATGTATAAAATATATATTTTATATACCGATACAGACATTTTTTGAAATACACAATAAATAACTAATTTCTTTGCCATGGTGTCATATGCTTTGTTAATTTTTAATACAAGGGTAGGTCTAGACATTACATTTTTAGTTGACTGCAATTTTTTGATAATATTAATGCAGTTCTACATTTGAAAATGGTTGTAATTCTTCAATTAAAATATTAAAAACAAATTCATCAACAGTTGATAGTGCTATTTTTATCTTAGATGTAGATGGATTCTGCATCTCAATGAATGAGTTGATTGGCTACAAATACAATTTATTTTTTATTACTATTTAAATGTTCATTAATCTTGTCAATTTTTGAGAACTGTACAGTCTATAATTTTTTCATTAAAATATTATTAATTCCTGAATTTTGAAGATAAATCTTTTAAAAATTTAATTGCATTTTTTAATCCCACACTAGTTATTGTCAAGGAAAACATTAAAAATTCAAATTATGTTTGCCAAAAATAATTTTTCAATTTCATATCTTTTTCAGAATTATCATTTAAAAACGAATCAGGAAAAATATCTAGGTTCAGTTAACAAAGTTTTTTAATCACTATTTTATTCGTTAAACTTATTAACAATTTGAAGATAAATCAAGATATAGAAGTTATTGTTTAAACCCATAATAATATTTTAAACCAATATTAATATTTTGTTAATATTGGGTTGTTAATGTTGGCTCCCAGCCCTATACTTGTATAATTTATTTGATTATATTAATATCATGATTAAGGTTTTTAAAATATTATGAAGGAATACTTTTTAATGGATATTTATATACCCATGATTTAATATTATATTACTAAAGTAATATTTAAAATAATAATATATTAATTCATCTTTTTACCTTCATATGTTTTTTTAAGTTTGAACTGCTAGACATTGTTGAAATAGTTGAAGCATAATTTACATTTATAAAGTGTAGACTTTTTACCCTTAATTTTCTTTATTGGTGTAAAATATGTTTCAAATTTGGGCGAGGAAAGAGACATCTTCATCTGAAGAAGTAAATACTATGGACATAATATTCTTAAAATAAATTATAAAATAATAATATTATTAACATTTATATTGAATTTTGATTGATTATCCATTAGATAAACATTCGACAGAAAATTTAACGAGAATTTAAAATAAAAATGAAGGAATCGTGGTTGATATGAATTAAAAACTCGGTTTAAATTATTTATAAAATTTTAAAAAATACATAAAATGGCACAATAAAATATGTTTTTCTTTTTTAAAAATTTTTTAAGAAAAAATTAAAAGTAACAAGTAACGTTATACATTACCGTTACCTCTAGAAGAAGGTAACGAATGGCGTTTTTTCTTTAAAAAGGTAACGATTTAGTAATGACGTTACTTCAGCACTAAATTATATTATTTAACAACATAATTTATTAGTGTCCAAATTAAGATTTAATAGAAATTAAGGGATATATCAATTAAATTTTTCTTAACATTGAAATAATTTTTTTATATCACTTAAAAAATCATAATTGTGTATAAAAATTAAATATGTAAAACAATTTAATAATTTATAAAATTTTTAAATCTGTCTTTAAAGAATTTTTGACTCCATTGAAGAAGAATTATTTTCTCTGCTAGGCAAGAATCGTGTAGTAAGGTTTACCATTGTTGTATCTGTATAATTTTGAAGAGCATAATTTTAAAAATATAAAAAAATAAGATGTTTAATAATTATGTATTTAAATTTAAATATTTGTAGTACCTGTATCATCAATGGGAGCTGACCCTACTTTGTTGATGATTATGTTGTGTAAGATACATATTGCTTTTATCACCATTTCTGCTATACAGAATTTTGAAATCCATGAACTATATGCTAATTGTGCATAAGATACTCATTAATTAAATACTTTTTATATAAATAATTACTAATGAATTAAATTTATTTTACCTCAAAGTATCAAACAATCTATCTTCAGCATCGATTTGCGCATTACAATTAATAATTTTTGGACTAATATTATCATATATTAGCCCGAGAATATATGAAAAGGTTGATCTTCTCATTCTTGTACAATTATTAACCCTAACAAAGATTTCCTTTAACATATAATTGAGATGTTTTGCATCTCTTCCTTCCTTTATTTCTTTCAAGTAAATATAGGGCAAGCATTTTTTTTTTAAATTTAGACGTTTCATATTGAAAAAAATAAAACATAATGCTTCAATTTAAACATAGCTGCGTATGTAGTGTTAAACGGCTACTCAATATTACATCCAGAAAAATATTATGCAAACCTGAAGATTTTGATCATAGAAGGAACAAAGGTCTAGACATATATTATTGAAATCTCGAGGCTTAGGCAATATCTTTCTGACTAAAATATTGAGTTAGCCATTTTAAAAAATCGGCTCAAACGAGTCGTTTAACAACACTATGCGTATGCGTTTTGTAACGTTGAGTTGAAACGTTCAGTTTGTGCGCGCTATTTTAAAGAGTATTTTGACCTTTGTCTGAATGAATTATTTTTTTTGTTAATTTAGTATTTTATGGGTATTTAGTAGATCTCGGTATTTTGCTCTTAAATCTTATTTTTAAGAGTTTTTAATTCGAAATTTAAGTTATGTCTGACGAGATATAGTTTCGATTTTATTCGTGTAGGTAATTGTGAGCAATGTCTAGAGCCTTTGAAAAATAATATATATAATTGGATTGGAGTCAATGAGCTAAGTAAGCTATTTAAATGACACCTCGAGGGGATTTATCGTCGAATAATTATTTCCTCGAAAGCCGAAATAAAATGAATATCGACAACTAAATTTAACCGAGGCGAACGCGTGGGACGGGATTCGTTCAAAATTTACTTCCGTTTCCGTTGCGAAATCAAGAAAAATGGAATTTAAAGCTAGAAAAATATCAAGCGATATTTATTTTAAAAAAAAACAAAAAAGTCTATAACTTCCATTTTTTTAAAAAAAAAAATTCTTAAAATCATTACACGCAGAAATTGATAGAATTTTCTAAACGTAATGTATTATTTTTAAAAAATTGATATAAAAATAATTAATATTGCATTTAATACGATAATGAAATTTTTAGCAATGGCTAACATGAAAAGGAAATATTAAATTTTTCTTGTCATTCCTACTATCAATCAATATAAACTTATATACACCCCTCCTGTTAAAAAGACCGATTAGCTAAAATATTTATGTAAGTCTAGAGAGATTTGTCGAATAGAGATCCTTTTGCCATCTATGAACAAAATATCCATCCTTACACTATATTATTTTGGCTAATATCTTAACTCGGATCGACCCGAATTGGAATTTTAACAACTCTACTCCTTCACACTAGTGGAATAGTGTCATTAAAACAATATCTTCGCTTTCCTAGCTTTTTTAGAATTTTATAAAAAATGTTTGTTTATTCAAATTATCTTTTCTTTTGATATTCAAACCTGAGCTTCGTTCAGTGCCAAATCGATCATCTCGATCAACTTGGAAAATATCTTCGCCTTTTCCTCCACCATTTCCATTTCCGGTTGATCTATTTTTGTGGATTTGAGAGAATTCACGCTGTTGAGTATCCTTCAAAATAAAGATGGGAAATAAAAACTATCAAAATTCTTCTCATATTTAAAAAAAATTGATTAGGTAGGAAAATGTTTAGAGCTTTAAAGGAAAAGGTCATTCTGAATAAATATCGTAATAAAGAGAAATAGTGTGCTTGGTGCACAAATTATCGTTAAATTTTTAACCGATCCAATAATTTCGGAAAGTAATTTAAAACCTATCCGATAACCGATATAGGCCGCCAGATCAATTATGTTCGAATATCGGATAAGAGGGAGATACTTTCAAAAATGTGAATTTCGTGAAATTTAAAATATAAAAAAATATAAAAAAATATATATAAATGATCGCTTACGTATTGTGTTCGCTTTTAAGGGCCTCGAGTCCCTGGACCACCAGCTTAGTGCTAGCTACGATCTCATCCTGAGATGGGGTTGAATTCATTTTAGCCAGCTCTTCTATCTTCTTACTACGATGAATAATGCAACATCAAGAAAGAAAATTATTATCATAATACTAAAATTCAAATTAGATGTCGCGGGCCTGCACAGACAACTTGCGGTATATTTTAAGAGCCAGGCCGGAAACACTCGATCAAAAATTATGAGGAGTCGGTTTCCCACCTGGAAATCCGATGTATTAAATATTATTAATATTATTTTTACCTTTTAAGAATATATTTCATATTCGATTATGAATATTATATATAGGAAAAAATAATTTAACAGCAAAATATCAATGTTGAACTGATATAAAATTCAAAATTTTGGATATTAATTTTTTGAATTATAAAATATAAATTTTTTTTTAAAAAAAAACAAAATGACAATGAGTCGAAAATATTTGAAAGAACCAAGTTATTTGGCGTAGGGATAAAAAAAATGTTTTATAATATAAATAAAAATATTATTAATGCATACTATGGTAATATAGCCTTTCGGCATATTAATCCACAAAGAATATATGGATCGATAAAAAAATAATACTATTTGGCTCCAAAATAAAGGGAGAAAAGTATTTGACAGTTAGTAAAGACTATGACATCAGTAACATTGTTAGAGGGAGAATGAGCTTTAAAAAATTTGGAGTCTTCTAAAAAATTGTTAATTTTTAGATTAAAATTGTTCTTATTTTGCGAAATTTTTAATTAGACTTTCAATTTTTTTTTGATAATTTTAGAGAATTATCTTTTAGTTTAAAACACGACGTGACCAGTAAGAGAGGGAGGGGGGAGTAGAATTTCGGGGAATTTAAATCATAAAGTAGGTGGTGCTCTTAAAAAATAGGTTTTTCATGGGTAAGGGGTTAAGATAAATGAGTTTCCAAGATAATAATAGCCATAATTTTAAGGCCTAAAATCGAATAAAAGTGCACACAAATTGAGCGTTTTTACGTTTTGTTGTAATTTTTTAATAAAAAAAACGTAACGCATCCATTGTTTAAACGGAGGTTGACTTTTTATTAATATCGTCGATTGAAAATTTTAAGTAAGTTCTAAAAAAAAGGATTTGTTTTTTAAAATTATATTATCGTCTGCCTTATTATTTCTTTAATCTCTAAATATTCCTTTTTAGGATATAAGTTGGGCTCTGCCGATCCATATATTTTTCACCGATCCGATATTTGTTCAAAAAGTATCTGATACAGATACCGATATTTATATTGATTTTTCACCCCCCCCTTGAACCAAATGTAATTTATAAATCAATATTTTTTATGCAAAAAATCGAATTATGCATTTAATTTAATTTTACAATAATTATTAAATAAATTATATTATAATAGATAAAATAAATATATTTAATAATATATCCATTACATGTTGGTATGAATTATAAAATTATAATATATTAGATTTTTTAGGGCTGTGCCGATCCACATATTTTTCACCGATCTGATTCAATATTCGATATTGACTCAAAACCGATCCGATATTTTTACTGATTTTTAATCACCCCCGTTTGAACCAAATGTAATTAAGAAATCAATATTTTTTATGCAAAAAATCGAATTATGAATTTAATTTTCTTATTTCTACAATTAAGACTATAATAAAAAAAATATGTATTTAATAATATATCCATTTTATGTTGGTATGAATTATAAAATTGTATTGTAATATTTAATATATAAAATTATAATATATAAGATTTTTTTAATAAATATGAGAGCCTCTAGATTTTCTGGGAATAAGCTTCTACGATATGGAGTATCTATATCTCCTGCCGTACTGAAGGCTAACTCAGATGATTCCGCAGATAACGCATTTGGCAAAATTATCTTTGTCTTTTGTAAAATATTTCCATAATTCAAATACCGTATTTAAAAAAAATTCTTTAATTTAAAGTATAAATAAAAAAATTGGCGTTATTTAAAAAGATTTAAAATAAATAAAACTTTGGGTGTTCTTTTCTATTTTTATATAAAAAAACTTTTAAAATACTATAAATCTATTTTAAAAAAGAAATAAAATTTAAAAAAATTATTTAGAAAATATTATAATAATGTAAAATAAATATACATAACAGAAATTAACATAACATAAGAAAAAGTAAAAAGATGGGATCGGATCGGTTTTTTTACAGGTATTGGCCCAATCCGATATTTAATATCGGCACAGCCCTAGATTTTTTTAAAATAAATATGAGAGCCTCTAGATTTTCTGGCATAAGCTTCTACAATGTGGACAATTTTCCATAATTCAGATGACATATTTAATTTTATTTAAAGTATAAATAATAAAATTGGCGTTAATATATAAAATAAATAAAACTTTGGGTATTATTCTTTTTCATTTTTTTAAAAAACTTTTAAATTACTATAAATCTATTTTTTAAAATAAAAATTTAGAGGGTGTTGTCCATTTACATTGTTTATAAAAAAAATTTAGAAAATATTACTAATGTAAAATAAATATACATAACATAAAATAACAAAAATAAAGTAAAAAGATCGCATCGCATTTTATATAGAGAAGAAATAAAAAAGTAATGAAAAATCAAACCAATTTGCGTTTTTTTAAAATGGTTGCTAACGCCAAACGGTAATTTTACCAATTAGCAAGTGGCCATTTGAAATGCATTATTTGAAATTGCTACACAACATTTGAAACTCAAGTGTACTATTAAAGAGTTTCATTAATAATGAACCATCCCACAAGAGATAGCTAACATTTCTAAAGGACAATAGCTCACTGTATTTTTTAATATTTTCATTTAAAACATACATATACAATTATTAAAAATAAATTTTTAAACTTAAATTATTAATAATTTTTCAATTTGATTTTTTTTAAATTGAAACATGTATTTTTTTTATTTTCACATATCTAAAACGAGAAAAATAAGGTGAAGTTAAATGGTCAAATTTTTTCCATATATGAATATTGGTGTATTGTGTCAATATCTGGCAGTATATTGATGTTGGCAAAAAGGTAGCAATGATTTGTAAATAATCATAACAATTTATGGATAACAAGGGGAATGGAAAAAGCCTAAATTATATCCATTCCAATGTTGTTAAAATAATTTATAAAATATGTAAAATATAAGGTGAAGGATGTATCCAGCCATTCAAATATTACTTAACCCTAAAGATTTAGCCATGTCAGAAATATTTGCCCTGTTTGTGAATCTTGATGTATATAGTGCAACCTAATTGAGTTATAAAGTATTAAAAGTGCAAACCAGTTTGTGTTTATATAAATTAGCACAATAGCATTTGAAATCATTTGCATATTTTATAACAAAAAGCAAATGCTCAATTATCTTGCATTATATAATAATATTTAGGGGAATTACAACATTAGTTCTAACTTAAATTAGTTGAATTTTAAAGTTGGAAGATTTGTATATATAAAAATAAGTTTTAAAAAATTCTGTAAATTGCCAAAAAAGGAACATCAAAATGTTTAGATTAAATATTGAAATATGACAATATTCTAATTCCTTTAAAATTTTTATTATTTTTAATAAAATCTATTTTTTTTTTATTAAACTAAAAACAATTTAGTGAAGTATTAATCTAAAATTTGTATAAATTTTTTAAACCTATAGGATTTATTATTCTATTATTTAAGAATGCAAATTTAGTTTATATATTATATAGCAATAACTAAAACTAGATAGTAAAAAATATCAAGAAAAAATTATAAATTATTTATATAATAACTATATTTTATATTATACCTTACCAATTATGAAAAAGGCAACTTTGGGATTAAAACGATTGAATACTTATGAAAAATTGAAATGGGATGGAAGCATTATCACAAGTATTAATATATTAAAAAATAAATAGGTGGGTTTGTGGTATTCTTTTTTATTTTGTATATTTACTATTAGATTGATTTGTATTTTATTCATATAATATTTGTGGCCATTTTAAGATAAATTATTTAATAATGATTCTCAATTATTTTTTTTATAGTCAAAACAATAGATTCTTTATTATAAAATTGTTTCCTATATATAGTCTTTTATAATTATGTCATTTAACTTCTACTAATATGCAATTACATGGGCCTAAGATAATATAAAATGTAAGAAATATAAAATGTAAGAAATATAAAATGTAAGAAATATATAATTCAAATAGCGTAACCTTTTAAAATATATATAAACATTCAAATATAACAATTTTTTATATACCTTTGCTATAGATTTAAAGAAACTTAAGAAGTTAGAATAGTAAAGTGGAGCATTGTACAAGTTTTAACAAACGGTTGAATATTTGATGAGCTTTGATAAAATCCCTGTATATTTTTTTAAAATTATTTATATTTAATGGGGTGGGGGGGGGGGGGGGTGGATGTAAGTAAGTGTCTTAGGGAGGGGAGAAAATTTTGTCTTGTTTTCAATTTTTTTTCATAAAGAGTATTTTTTTTTCTTCTTGTAATTTTATTTTTAAATCAATTTATGTTATGATGTATTAAATCACTATTAAAAATTTTTAAATAATTGTATTTTCCATTTTTTTGCATATTATTATATTTAATACAGTAACGTCACTGGGGAGTTTAGGTAGGGAGGGGGGCGTCGAGCCCCCTGAAAAAATTGAAGAGCCCTCTCAAATTTTTTTCATGCTTACTAATAAAAAAAGTTAACTTTGAAAAGCTGAGTAATTTTGGATAATGATAGCTAAGAAAAAAAAGGTAATTTTGAAAAAAAAAATTAAAAGATTTTGAGCCCCCTGCGATTATTTACATTTAAAAGAAGTTTAAAATATCATTTTCACTTATATTATTCGTAAATTTTTATTTAATTAATTCAAAAGATAAAAAAAATATCATAGGATATCGCCATCAGCCGCGATACTCCCAAATTTAAAATAAAATCTTATTCACCGATAAATTCTACAAGAGTTTTCTTATCTATACATTTTTATATTTGCAACATTGTAAATCGAAGTTTTCAGTTTTTGGTGTTTTATAGTCCTATAAAATATTTAAACCTCCTCCATTATCTTGTTTGATTAAGATGATATATTTGTACAGTTTTTGAAGGAGCAAAACGTCTATAACATCCAGATTTAGATAGGGCTAAAAAAGTTGGTATAGATTATCAACAATGATATTGTTATTCCAGTCAAGGAAAATATTAAAATTAAGGGATCGAAATGCTTTGTCTTTTAGTCATGTATGGAGACTAGATATGAATGCTACCAACAATTTCCATGCTAGGATATGAGTATGATGTGATATTTAAAAGTGTTATATATTTATATTTTATATAATATTATGTTCTGGAAAAAAAATGAAGACCTCATGAAACTTAAGAGACGAGGGGGGAGAATTTGCTGAATGTCAATCGAGGTTAAGTAAAGGCTGAAATATACATGACAAATGAAGATAAAGTGTATGGAGTTTTTAGCAATAAATTTAATAGGAAAGAAAATGAGAATATAATATATAGGGATAGTCAAGAAAAGAGTAATATTGTTAGTCAGAGCCACTCCTGACATATGAATAGTATCTGATCCCATCGCTCTAACTTGTTTACCGAGTGAATCATTAATCGTTGTTTTTCGTAATACTATGTTTTAATTTAAAGTTCTTTTTTATTTTTCAATTCTCATCTAATGGTTTTTAATAATTATCTTCCAAATAAATATAACTTTTGTCAATCTAGTCATTACAATAGCTATCGATCCACACTAATAAAGGGTTAGTTGTTTGGTTCTTATTAACAAAAATAAAATAGTGAAGAATGTAGAAACTATCGGGGAATTTAATTGAAGCCTACGTTCCAAGAGAAAAGATGACCTAATGAGTCTAAATTCAATTATAGTTTTAATTCTTATAAATTAACATCTACTATACATATGATAAACAAATTTATGGAATAATTTAGAGAAGATAACATGCATATGTGCTCGATTTCAAAAATAGTCTTTCGATAATTTCTTGTGACCGAAGCTCTAGTGAAGGCTAACAATTTTCCGATGTAGGTATTAATAATAACTTTACAATAACGAGTACTCAATACTAAACAAAATGGGATTGAAGGATTGATTTCTTGATTGAGACCAATTCACTTAGAGGGTTTGATTCTTAAAAAAAAATTAATATTTTATATTAAATTTGTACAAAATAAAATAGATTTCGAAATGCTTCCATTTATCTACATATAGATCCTTAAAACTTTATTAAACTATCTTGTACCTTTTAGAATATTTTTAATGGTATATATAAATATATTTAAAGAGTACTATTCCAGTATTTGAATAGATTAACGAAATAATACATATAGAAAGCTAGCTTCACTAAATTGTTTTTTATATTCTATCATCTCCTCATTAATAACGAAACATGGGAAACTTTATAGATTACAAGTTAAATAAAAAAAATTGCTATCCTATAATGGACTAGCTATAAATACTAGAGCAAGTTCCTAGGGACCCCTTAAAATACAAATATTGGAGAGCCCACTTGGACTCCCCATAAAATATATTGCAGAGTTGGGGCTTCTTTGAGGCCAAAAAATACAATGCCTAGCTCGTTTTACTATATTTTTTAAAAAATAAATTATATTTTAATGAGTCAATGTTATTTCTAGTTATTATTATATCTAATTATTACAAACTTGGCATCAGCATTAGAATCATCAATAACAATTTATTTCCTCTAAACATTTAACATTTGGAGCAATAAAATTTAGTATTTATTTTTATTAACCAAAAAAAAACCCATCATAATAATTAATCAAAACTATAATAAATTATTAATTATTCTCAAACGGTACATTGTGTGATTCAATTTTTATAAATTTCTCTAGAAAATTTCTATTTCATTGCCATTAATATTTTCAAAAAAATGATTTCTACAAACTAATAGCTTATGATGTATTACATACATTGAAAATGTCGTGCATTAATTGCACAAACATTCAAAAGCTGTAGAAAAATCATTAGTATTTAATAAAAGATTGACTGCAATGAAATATTTTTACCAAACAAAGTTTTCATTGAAAATGAGATATCTCACTAAAGGAGGTTTAACTATTCGAATAAGCATGACCCTACATTCACAGTTAACGCATATTTGTGACAAAGTAATGTTGGAACATGTTCGTGAAAAGGTTATTATTTTTTTTGAAATATGTTCCATTTATTTTTAACGAACTTTTACTATTTATATAGTATAGTTTATTCATTTTAATATTGTTATTTATATTTTATAGATTGGTGTAAGCATGGATATTGTTATTACATCAACATCATTTGATTCTAAACATGGTCCTAATATAAATGATACTTTATAGTAAAATCATATATTCAATAAACTAATTCTATCCTTACCAAATGTAATATATCTCCAAAAAAGTAAAATATCAGTTTTAAAATCTTCTATTTCTAATTTAAAGATATACTTGTATGTAGTATTTATTATTTTATATTATAAAACTATGGGTATCCTGTTAATAATTTATTTTAGATTGTTGTATTATATGGGCTTATTAATTTATTACGATTATTATAATACGTAATGTAAAAATAAATAAATTATATAAATATATAAAATAGCTCTATTTATTTTTAGTGTGGATATTTGAAATTTCGCCATTATTTTTAAGTTTTACCAAGTGTTTTATATTTTAATAGTTGAACACAATTCAAAGTATTATAAATTTATTTATTTTATTAATAATTAAATTTTATGATATATAAGTTATTATATATTAAAAATTAATAAGAACCTTTTAATAAATGAAAATATATTTTTATTTACTTTAAACATGGTTAATATATTGTATTAAAAATATATGGTATTTATTTATATTTAATTTAATAAAATATTAAATGAGGTATTTTAAAAAAAATTTATTTATAAAGTTTTAAAGAAAAGTAAACGGGTTCTTTTTTTTTGGAGAATGCGAATGTAGAATTATTATATTATATCATATTTTTGTATATTTAGCCACGTGCGCTAATTATGATTGATGGGTAAGCTAATAGCCGATTGCCACCATTTTTTTTAAAATAAATAAGGAATGGTCCGTTTTGTTAAATTTTGATCCTTTGATTATTCTTTTGGCGAATAATATTAAACCTATCTAATTTAGGCACCGCTGGGACCTATTTGCCCAACTTAGACAGTTGCCCAATTTATAAAGACTTTTTAAAAAACATTTTACCATCCGATATATTCATAGTTTAGCAAAAATTATATAGGAAATTATTAATGTTTTAAAATGATTAAGTTGGTAAGCAATTTTTTTAACCCTATTTAAAAGGGAAAAATGGAACATTATATATTATTACTTTTTTAACCTAAAAGGAATAATTTGGTTAAAATTTGGAAATGCTAATATTTTTTTTAACGGTTATTGAGCTAACATAAAGTAATTAAGAATATTTAGAGATATATTTATGATTAAATTAATTTAAAATACAATTATTATTATTTTAATATGAACTTTAACCTCATTTTAAACAAGGTTGTAAGCAAGTACTAGTATCATAAAAATGAACTAAAATAAAGAAATTTAAATTTTAAAGGCGAAGTGGGATTCTTAGAAAATATCAATTGAATTTTAACCATTTCAAATATGGTTGTAGGCAAGTAAATTTTTGTTATCATAATAAAGAGCTAGAAATAAAATAAAGAAATTTAAATTTTAAAACCGAGTTGGGTTCATAAAAATATATATCAATTTGGTTATTTAGAAAAGTTGTAAAGAGGGTTTTTATGTTAATAATATTTTGATAAAATTGTCAATTGTAAAGAATTTTGGTCAGAAAATTTGGTATATAATTGATTATTTCAT